TCTTAGGAGGGCTGTGTTGGAGGTTCTTCTCCTTGTATCCGCTTTGTGCGTTTTTAATGGATTGACATTTTACATTAAAAAAAAAAAAAAATTCCTTTACGTGAATACCTTTTTGGTGCATTTAATTTATGTGTATAATGATTAGTACATATATAAATAAACAGATATACCTAACAACTGGTTGTCCTAGAACATTAAATGTGCTCGAGTTCAACTGCATCTTTTAAGTCTATCATTGTCGTATTAAATTGAAGAATTCCTAACATATTGTGTTAAATTGAAAAACTTGGTTGATCATATATGGTACTTAAACAATGCACAACATTAGAAAAAAAATAGGAATTTTACACTATAATCTCTCTCTAACGTGTGTGCGCACTTAAAAAAAATGAAATAAAAGAATACAGAACATGAATTGTCGAATAACAGTTTCAAAATACGACGTGTCCAAAAATTTACTTTTCAGAAATTAGAAGATATATTATGCACAGTAAAAAACACGTTCGCATGTTTAATTTTGCTAAAAAAACAGATTTTTTTTTTTTTTGTAGATTTTGCCCTTATTTGGTTCAATTTAAAAAATGAATTATAATCTAAGTCAAAGTCAACAATTAATTATAATAACACGTTTTATGGGATTTACAACTTTTTAACCACACATCCCATTAACTTTTATAAAATCAACTAAAAAGTGATTTTTATCTAAACCAAACTGTATGGCTTTGATAAAGTAAATGAAATGTTTGGTCGAAAAGTCATAAAAATTGTAGATCCCTGAAATGCATGATTGAAAACAAGTTGAAAAAAATATAAGTTTTAGTATTTTTATCTTTATTCGATGTGTGATTTATTTTTTAATTTTTACCTCCCGCAAGATGGTGACTCTTTTTGAGCAAATCAATCTTGAAATTCTTGTGCTCATTTTTTTTTTTAATCTTAATCGAATCAAATCGTTCGTTGGAGTTTAATGAACTCTGACTTTTTAGAAATACAAAACAATATAAAGAATTAAAGAGTGACCGAAGAGAATGAAGAAGAATTATAGTGATTCTCTTGTTTAACGTTTGTACATGAGGTTAGTATATATAGAAGCTTGAGGTTTCCCACCGTTTTTCTTTTGTTCACCAACATAATATATTAAGTACACATGTAACCTTTATGTACGAACAATTTAATTCTTTACTCACATATCTACTTTTCCAGCTTTGCAACAATCACTGAAGTAGTTAGTTGATATGAAATAAAGGTTGAACCCCAAAATCGAGGGTCCCCACCCCAACCATGAATTTTGCTGCTTCCACAGTGAGAATTAGTAGGTCTATTAATTGACTACATGCATTTCAGTACGTGTTCGAATACAATATTCAACATGGATTCTGAAATCCAAAGCTTCATTACGGTATGGTTCACTGCAGTTTTATCTATGATTTACTGTTACTACATCTCAGCCCGACTACCTAGTGGCGCCACAAGGTTATTCTCCCTCCTCCCCGTCCTCTATCTGTTCACGACCCTCCCTCTCCACCTCACCTCCATCCACATTGGTGTTGCTACTATTTTATACCTCGTTTGGCTTGGCAACTTCAAGCTCCTCCTCTTCTCCTTCGATCAAGGCCCTCTATACGCGACGCCGCCTTTGTCCCTCTTCCATTTCATCTTCATAGCGCTCCTTCCCATCGAAACCAAACACACCTCATCTTGCAAATCATTTTCAAATGCCAAAGTTTATCATCAACCGGCTGGGTTTGCTCTTAAAGTTGCTCTTCTGGCTATAATTCCTCGTGTATATGAGTACATGGAGTATGTGCATCCGTATATAGTCTTTACTCTGTACTGTTGCCATCTTTATCTTGCTCTTGAGGTGATTTTAGCCATTACCGCAGTTCCCACGAAGGCCATTCTTGGAATGGATTTGAAACCACAGTTCAATGAACCATATTTAGCCACTTCACTGCAAGACTTTTGGGGCCGTAGATGGAACCTCATGGTCAGCAGTATTCTACGCCCCGCTGTATATCAACCCGTACAGCGTATTTCTACACGTATTTTAGGCAGCAAGTGGGCTCGGCCTTTGGCCACCCTAGTCACATTCTTGGTGTCTGGTCTCATGCATGAGGTGATTTATTATTACTTATCACGTGCATATCCCACGTGGGAGGTGACAAGGTTCTTTGTTCTTCATGGAATTTGTGTGGCCCTCGAGACGGCCGTGAAAAAGGAATTGGGCGGCCGTTGGCGGCTGCACAGGTTGGTTTCGGGGCCGATGACGGTGGCTTTTGTGGGAGTCACAGGCGTGTGGTTGTTTTTACCACAGGTGATTTGGCATGGTTTAGACAAAAAGGCCATAAGTGAGTATACAATTTTGACACAATTTTTACTTTGGACTTTGTTTTTATGTGTGATATCAAAAATCCTTCTCATGCCATGAATAAAAATTTACTTTCATGAATAAATATCTTATTCTTTCGAGCTCATTATCAATTTATTTTTTATTTTTTTCCCTGCAGATTGAGTGGAAAAACCTCATTGTGATAAACTAATAATTAGTACAAATACATATGGATCAACGAAAGCATCAGTGAGCATATTAATTACTTAACCATCCTTATCAACATCGACAAAGAAAAATGACATCTACGTGTGCAAATTTATACGGGGTGTTTCGTCGAAATTAATTTTGTTACACTATTTCAAGAAATAATTTAACCAAATGAAGAAATTGACACGTTAAATATTTTTGTTACTCCTAAATTTGAATATTATTAAGCTAAACTTTTTGTTTTTGTCCTTAAATTTTACACTACTTAAAAAAAAAAAAAATTTACTTTACAAAATTGCATTATGTACACTATGCTACTTGTGAGAAAATTAAAAACCCCAAACAAAAAAAATCCTTCAATAATTAAAATCTTGATAAAAAAAATTAAGTCAACATCAATAATTAATTTTAACTATATATTTTATAGGATTCACTATTTTATTAAATTTTCAATCTGCATTTCATCAACTTTTATCAAAATGTAACAAAAATATAATTTTTAGCTACACAAAACAGAAGCTAAATACGATAATTTGGAAGAAAATTTTAAGATTTTTAATTTTGTTTGAGCCATAATGAAATTTCACAATGTAGCCATACTATGCTACATTTGACGCTGCCGGTTGGATTAGGTTTGTTACTTTTTTGGAAAGGCACGGAATTCTTGTTGGTTTATGTTACCCCTCGATTTCGAGGTCTAAAGAAGTAAGGCCACGTGGCACGCACGTAGGCAGGACAGTCAACGAAAAGTCA